TGCACCCAGAACAGTAAATTAGGGGAAATCATTCAATGGGACACCTGTTCTAAAAATGGGGATTTCCCTCCTTTTGAAAACATTTCCTCTCAGTTCCTGTTGTGTCCACAGGACAGGAAATGAAGGGAAATCTCTTGAGTGGGATACAAAAGGCAGAAAAAAAACTTTGACTTTGGATAGAAAAGGGAACGCTATGAGCCCCCCAATATCGGGCCCCCAAGGGGGTGAGCAGGAGCCTCTATGTATCTGTATTTTACCCATTACACCGAGGGGGTCACACTAATATAACTAGTTTTTTTGTCATTTCGGATAGAACAGGAAATGGATAAATCTCCCGTCAATAATGTTTTTTTTGCTTATTTTCTTTATTGCTTTGTGGAGCTTTTTCCTTCACTTCCTGTTGCAAGGTGCAACAGGAAGTGAGAAGAGATCTCTCTCTCTTCCAAAGTGAGGGAAACCCCTCAGACAGTTGTCAGCAGAACATGCGTCCCCATTCGAAGGTCTCGCCTCTGTCCTGCTGTGGTGACAACTCAAGTTTGTCTGGGTCTCGGTGACACCAGAACGAATAGAAAAGATGAATCTCCCTCACGGGGGACACAGTCCTAACCCCTCGCCACTCCATCCAAACTAAACAAAATTGGCTTTAGACAAGCAAAGCAGGGGAAGGAATATCCCGGCACGGCTACAATATCCTTTCTTTATATTTTCTTTTGTTCCCGATTTACAAATCCAAACGAATCCAATTGTGTAGTCAGATGGGGAACTCCTATTCCTATTGGTACACAGCAGCCTTGAAGTCAGGAGGGAGGGGGAGGGGGGGCAAAGCAGACATGTCCGGCTTACATGAATAATATAGTACACGGTACAGATTGGTGGTAAATGATCTTTATACATTGTATACACTGACCTGAGGACGTGACGTTGGCAGCACAGATGGCGAGGGGTCCCAGCCGTCTCTATGAACATGAACGGGGTCACTCACCTCGGTGTACGCCTGTGTCACCTCCTCGTACAGTGACTGGTGATGATGGATGGCCATTTCCAGCGCTTGCATCTCCGAGGGCAGACCGCCGTCATTACACATCTTACACCACGTGTCCACGCCGGAGAGGAACTGCAACGACATCCGAGCAGCAGAGAGACATTGAATGAGAAGACGTTCTATATTCCTGGACATTGTATCCCCTCGTATCACAACAATGTATCAAACGGGGACACCGACGAGGACACGATTGGCTGTTCCTGCGTCCAATGCTCGCCTACGCATCAGGTGTCTTCACATGGACTGTTCATTAAAGTGGGGTGACCACAGAGGTACAAGGCGATCTATAGGGAGGTCTCCTCATATGAATTAGGATATTCGGGGTGACCACAGAGGTACAAGGCGATCTATAGGGAGGTCTCCTCATATGAATTAGTATCGATGTTTCTTTTTATATATAATTGTAATATTTGTGAAGCGTTTTGTCATCTATGGTATTGATAAGTGAGGAGAAGTCCTGCACGGAATCTGAATGTCGGGGTAACTGACAATCATGCTGGCACTTGTAGTTCTCCCTCATCTGGAGAGCTACAGACCACCAGACGCTCCTTTGTGAGTCGCCGTCTCTCGAGGCTCCAGCCGCCGGCTCCGTATCGGCACTACAGAGCGCCGCTGCCATTGCCGCAGCCTAGATACATCAATCTGATCCTGGCAGAGAGGACTCGGCGGGACGCGGCGGATCGATACGCCGCGGACGGCTTACAAATCCAGGAAAAAGGACTTTTTCTTCTACTAGAACCTTTCATCTAAATCAGTGTCGCCGTCCGCTCGCTGTTAAAGGGGAAGGCGCGATCTGTAAAGGAAACGGTCCATTCCGTATTCTAGACCCGCGTCCGTATACAATGTATACACCCAGAAGGCTGAACACGGCGGAATATCGGCTTTGCCGAGCGGTGGATCGCCGGGCTCGGCTTCCCCCCGGGCGGAAGTTCAGAGAACACAATCAGCTTCATAACATCACCTGCTGCACGTCCTGCTGGAAGACGCAGAGCTGGAGCCGCTGGTGGAGCCGGACTTTGCGGTGCTGCCATATACTTTCCAGGCGGCGCTGGTGATGTAAGACTTCGTGGACCACATCCAGGACTTGGTGGACAGCCTTGGAGTAGTTGGCAGTGGCTGTGAGGGACTCCGCGTTGCCCGGACTGAGCGGACGCTGCAATACGTCCAGCAGAGCCTTCCCGTCCTGACTGACCTGTGGGGAGAACGAGAGCCGTGACTACACGCATACAGCGGGGGGGGGGGGGTGGGCC